TGTTTGTGTTGATTAAGCATTTTTTTTTTTTTTTTGATGGGAAAAACTACTGTACACGTTCAGTGTTGAGTTGAAAAGTGTTATGGTAACTCCTTTCCGATAAGATGGTTGCGGTGAATATAGTAGAAAGTATTCAAAAACACTCTGAAAATTATTGCCTATAATTGAATAGTAAGCTATATGACGTCTTGAAGACATGAGAAGGTACTGTATGCACTATTTTGTAAGAATATGTTGGAGATGCAGAAGTTGTTTTCCAAACGGGTATTGTGTTTAGTCAAAGGGGTATAAAAAGTAAAATATCAATGCAGATGAACTTCAATTTGTTGCTCTAGTACCTAGCACTTTCTGAATCTGGCCGTCAGCGAGCGTTAATTTTTTTGGACTAACTCGTGAATATGCTGGAGGGAAGACGATTGCAAATCAAATGGACTGCCCTGCGAAAATTGAATCGTAGTTTGCGAGCCTAGAGAAATAGGTTTAATAAAAATCCAATTTAAATCTTATGGTCGTGGACTGACTATGTCACTTTGCAAAGAGAAAATCCGCATGAGTAGCTAAGTACCCAAAGGATCACGACTAACTAACTGGTCGCGCGTTGAAATCTCAAGTACGGTAGAGTTTTCAATACTGGCGAGCGTACGATATAAGTTTCCCGGCAACCTTGAAATCGATACTTTGTAAATTCATTTTGCACAATATATATAGGCAACAAATAAACAAACTAAATAAATAAAAATTGCATATCTTGCAAAGTCTACGTATTTATTGATCAATGCATTTTATGGTAGTGCACGATTTGCTGCCATCATATATGACTAATTACATCGATTACTTCGTGTATTTTTTTTTTTTTTAAGGATACTTTGTTGTTGCTGAAAATTAAATTTTTAATTGTCTACCCAACTAAATCATTAATGTGTATTTGCACTGAAGTGCTCTCTTAGTTAAAATTAAGTTATAATGAATTAATAATTTGGTGTTTACCTTCGAATAGAGTAATTTTCCATGTTGTCGTATTGTAACACCCTGTTGTACATGCGCTCTTTTTACACATGCAAGCCAACTATAAGTATCGTATAAGTAAAGTTTAATTCTTTTTCTAACTTTACTAATAGTTTTCAGAGCATCGTGTAACAGTGAAGATAAGGAGGACTATTAGGAGCACACAAATTTTTCATTTATCTTTAATTAATGGACAAAATCGTAACATGTATGTGTGAAAAGACATAAATAAAATAAATCATTTATTTTTCTATAAATATACATATACATATATCTACGTATATGAAAAGAATAATTTTTAAAACAAAAAAAAAAAAAAAAACAAAAAAAAAAAGAAAATGAAAAAATTGCTTAAAAAGAAAAATGAAATAAAAAAAAAAAATTTGATAAATTAAAGCAAGCTTTTTAAGTATTTATTACATTTGACGGTGATGGAAAAAGTTCACGTGAATATTTAATGATTTGACATTAATCGTGTATAAGCCAATTACTTTAAATTATTTTCGGGGTATTAAGGTTATAGATTTGTCAGTTATCTCAATGTATACACTACATTGTATATGCATACATATATATATATATATATATATATATATACATATATGTACATACTTATACATACTAACATACTTATGACATGTGTGCATATTTATGTATATATGCGCAAAAAAAAAAAAGGAAACAATATGTAATAGCTGAAGAGTTCTTTTCCGTTCACATGCTTCACATGTGTGTAACATTGATGACGATGATGACTTTTTAAATAAAAGGAATAATAACGATGATGATGATGATGATAATGATGATGATGATGATGATGATGATGATGGTAATGGTATTGTTCTTCGTTTTTGTAGTGAGAAACAAAGTAATGCGATTAATGAATTCTAACATAAAATCGAGTGTAATGAAAATGTCAAGGAATTTACACGCAATCTTTTCTTTTTCCTCTCAAATCGTTTAATATTTTTACGCTATAAGTTTATATACACAATTATATATATATATATAGCTACATTTCGATAAAGCTTCGAAAGGAGTGCTGTTATATGCAAATACGTACATATAATATACACATGTACATATATACATGTAAATATATATATATAGACATTTGTAAATATGCATACATACATACATACATACATACATATATGTATATACATAAATATATATATATATTATATTTTAATTAATAATAAAAATTCGAATTATTTTACATCATTACCCGTACACACTCGCGCACACGTCAGCATAAAGGAACGTGTGTGCGTGACGGTTTATAAGTATATACGTACGTGTACGTGTATACGATTATGTTCACGTAAAATTTCACATACTCAGTTCAAGTGGTGCAGGTTATGAACCCGTTTCCTTTTTTTCCCTTTTTTTTCCATTTCTCTCATTAAGCGCAAATATTCGTATGATTTTATGTGGAGATAGTTTGACTGTTTAGTTATCTTATGTGGTTGTGCGTTAAAAGAAATGAAGCTTTCTTTTAAATGAGAGTAAGAAAAAAAGAAGAGCTTTTCGATTCTGTTGTTTAACGTATAACGAGGGACTTTAGTTGAAACATTCCAAAATGCAATTCAGTTTCGTCGCGGTTGCAGTGTGGATCAATACTTGTGCAAATAATAATAGTTTCGCGTTTCTAATATACAACGAGCGTTAAGAAAGCAATTTCCTTTGTGCTTTTGTGTGTGTGCGTTCTTGTGTCAATGCATGTTTATGTGCGTGCGTGTGTGTGTGTGTGTGTGTGTATTTTGTATGGGAGAAATTTTCTTTCAAATTTTTTCCTTTCATTTTTGGTAGAGATATGCATGTCCTTCATAAAATTATCTAAAGAATCCTTTTTTTTTTTTTTTTTAAGTAATTTAAAAAATATTCGCAACGTTAAAGATAAAAATTACTACTCAGTAAAACAAGAAAAAGTTCCTTTTTTTTTAATCTTAAGGGTTTCTGTACCTAAAAGTATACTATAAATTTCCTACGTTAACTATCCTTTTTAAGAAATTACTAAATAAATTTTAATAAATTTTTATTCAGTTTTTTTTTTTCTTTAACTAATTTTTTGAAGATGTAAACCCTTAAGAAAAACAAAAAAAAAGAACATTTTTCGATGTTTTTTTAAGAACAAAAAAAAGGAACATTTTTCGATATTTTTTTTCTTAATAATTTTTTTCAGTATATGCAGATATATGTATATACTTAAAGAAGACTTTTTGTACGCTTAATGGCATTGAGACACGCAAGGGGGTAGTTGATAGGAGAAAAGCTTTTTACAACTCTACGTAAATGAATGCGAAAACGAATAAAAATATTAATTATAGATGATCGAATGAAATGAATTCCAATTAAACGAAACTTAATTGATTATAATAACTAAAAAATTTAAGAAAAGAAAAAGCGAAATTAATTATATTAAACAATTTAAATTAAAAAGTACAAGCTACTCTTTGGCTTAACCGTCCCTTAAATTAAATAAAAGCCTAAAATGTAAGCTGCTCAATAAGCTTTCTTAAATCTTATTCACTTGCAGCTAACTTCATAATATTGCTAAAGCTTTTAATGTTAACAATACACTGGAAGGAGAGTACAGAAGAAACGGCTGTGAACTGTTAAGTTCAATGAAAGTCTAACGCAATCATCACCAACTAACCAATCAACCCTAAAGCAACCATATAACAATATAATAATAATAATAATAATAATAATAATAATAATAATAATACTCTAGAACGTCACCATCAGTTCGTATTGTAAATATACGCGTGCTTTATTGCGCGTGTTACTCATACGTAGTGTTGCTCGGTTTTATTTAAGAGCATGAGAGCAAATGTGTTGGAGCATGAGAAACCGCATAAAAGAAGCTCCGTAAATCAGCAACAAAAACAAAAACAACAACTAAATAACATAAGCGTATTGTACTACTATACCATTTACTCATTAAATGCCGTTAGTTAACCTCTATACGCACACAAATAAATCAGCAAAAATAAAAGAAAGAACGAAAGAAAGAAAACAAAAATAAATAAATAAATAAATAAACTCTCTCGCTTTGGTTTCGTTCATTTGTTCTCGCTTACTATCTTTTCTTAACTTTATTAATCTATTAATCTTACATATGTGGTGGTGTGTTTGTGCCTACAGATGTTTTAAATATGTCTACTGTGACATGTTTCTCATAACTCGTTCAAGCATAAACGTGTGCATGTAGTGACTGACCTACTCGTACTACTAAAACTAAAGTGCGGCAAATATAAAATACAAAGGAAGATAAAATATACAAAAAAAAAAAAAAACAAATAATAAAAGATAAAAATCCTAAATTAATGCAAACATGAAAACCGAACGTAAACAAGCAGTAAAACTAACCTGAAAATTAATTTGTAAAACTCGAACGAAAAAAGATTAAAAGAAATAAAAAAAACCTTTAATTTTCTTGGCGTGATATGGCGACACGCCAAGGACATCATTTCGAAGAAAAACAACATATCAAATATTAAGCAAAAAAAATTAGAAAACTAAAATAAAATAAAAAGGGAAAATAGCAAAAAAAAAAAATAAACAAATAAAAAAAACAAATCCTCTAAGTAAACAAAGATAATATCATCTAACAACGTTTATGTGACGTTATGTGATTATGACTGCGATGTCTATTTACGTATAGAGGCACCATTTAGATTGCTGCCGCCGCCGCTGCTGCTGCTGCTGCTGCTGTTGCCTTTCTCTTTAATCATAAAAATCATAAAATGCTTGCAGACCTAACCATTAGAGGAATGCAAACGACTACGGATTTCGAACGAGGTCATAGAAACCAATCAAAATTACCGCCATTATCATTAGCAACACGAAATAAGAAGGGCAACAACAATAACAGGCAACAATCGCAATTTCAAGCAATATCTACATCAGTAACAACGACAACGAGAACACAAATGACGCCAACATCGATACAAACATTAACACAAACACAAAAACAACAACAACAACAACAAATTATGCATTATTCAATATTAACAAAAATAGCAACAAGAACAACAATAGCATATACAAAAACAACAATAACCACTTTAAAGCGGTATCTATTTCCTCAAACGTTACGCTTTCATCAAAGCAACGACAAAAATAACAACAAGAACAATAACTTATTATTAATGCTTGTGCTTGTATTGTTGTCACTAACGAGCTGCGCCGTACATGCTTTTCATTTGGATGGCTCTCAAAATTCATTCGCCCAGTTCCGTAAATGGTATGTGGGCCTTAACGGAAGCTTGGAGCTGGAATTTAAGACTGAACAGCCAAACGGTTTGGTCTTATATACAGACGATGGTGGTACTTATGATTTCTTTGAGCTGAAATTAGTCGAGGGTGCTTTACGTCTACGTTACAATTTGGGTGGAGGGGCACAAATTATAACAGTCGGCCGTGATCTACATGATGGTCATTGGCATAAGGTGCAGGTGAGTTCTAAGCACAAAATTTCAACATGAACAACATGCTTAAGTATTTCGTTTCCAAATAATTTAATCAAGTGCCAATTATACTTACGTCTCTTTTTATAAATATTAAGCGCAATTAACTGCATTAACTTGTACGGCTTTTTAGTGTGGGGTGAGATAAATGTAGATAAAGAAAAAATGAAAATCCGAAAAAAAAAAAACAAGTAAGAAAATTATATTTGGTAGTAAGTGAATCCTTTATATTCATCATCGTAATTCTAAAAGTAAGGAAAATAACTAAATTTTCCTACTCTATGATATTAAGTGGATGCGTCTGACTTTGCTATTTTTAGGATAAAAGTGGAAACTTATATGGCGGATGTGTTGTACTCTATGAGGAACAACAAGCACGGTAAGCAAAGGTATTCACAGTTTTTGTAAGATAAGCATGTTGGCGTTGCAGGCGCGATCTTTGCAAAGTTTCAGTCATTTTCAAATTCTTTATGCATCTTTGTAGGCGATTTTTGCGAACGGAAAAATGTTTGCTACAGATACCAGATAGCTGCGCAGACTGAGAAATTGGCAGATGAGCGGACCGATATGCTTTTATGTACGTTCCGAATTTGAAACTGGTCAAGAATTTATATACTTTATAGAGCTTTTGAAGCTTGCTTCTGTGCGTTAGAAAGATTTAAAAAAAAAAAAAATTAAATTATGATACACTAATGAATTGAGGGATGTGGCCGATTTTTCCAATTATCTGCCCATACGCCTATATAACAAAAACTGTGAACACATTTGCCCGGTTTCTTCTTGTTACTCCTAAAGTGCAACACCCACGTCTTATAAATTTTCAACTTTATTCTGAAAATTGGAAAAACCAGCCGCGCCCGCCCAATATCGTAGAGTATGAAAATTTAGGTATTTTCCTTTTCTTTAGGATCACGGTAATGGGTATAAAAGATTCGGTCGCGTCCGAATATAGTTTTCTTACTTGTTCTCCTTTTGACTATTGTAGGTATGTTTAAGATGATGTCCTTTGAATTTTTGAATGCAGCTTTCAATTTAATACTTTGCAGAAGTTGGGATTTCAAGCAGAGTCGTTCAAAGGACATATGCATGGACAAGTTAAGTTAAATTGATCGATTGAGAAGCACTTGTCGATGAAAAAATACTTTGTTAATCTAAGATAGATATTTCCAGTTGCTGCAAAGGGAACGTTTGCTCCCCTTGATCGTAGTATTTGCGGGTTTCCTTTTAGTAACTTGTGATAAATAATAGGCGAGAGGTAATAATGAATTTGAAGTGAAGAATGGTGGATAACTGAGATTAACAAGTCATGCTTGTGACGCTGCTTGTGACTATTCGATGTCTTTGAAATGAATTTCTTCCCGACCTAGTTGTGGGTACTTGTTAAGCCTTTCAGAAAATAGTTGTAGTAGTAATAATTAAATAAAATTAATTAATTTATTCTCTCTTACGTTCATCATATTTTTCACAGCGATTCTCCGCTTCGTTTAATTTATTTTTGAAGCACTTTTTCCTTAGGACTTCTAATATATTCATCTACAGTTGACATGCATCAAGAGTCACACTTGTAACGTGAACGAGGCAGAGAGTCTCGGATCTCTTGTAAATATGATTAACGCTTCAACATTTTGCAATTTTTTTTTTTTTTTTTTTTTTTTCAGTGGAATACTTAAGCTATCACTAGCATCTTTCGTTTCTTAAAAATACCTTTATTGACTACCACTTAACGCTTCGTATCTTTGTCTTATTCGTAACGTCGTTTAAAAATCAAGTTGATGTTAACAGTTTTACTCGATTATTCTGATATTGTGTAATGTGTATTCCCTTCACCGGGCCAGACAGTGAACAAGGAATATTAACTGAGTTGGAGAATTGCTTTGAACACAACTAAATAGATTTGGAAGAACATAATAAATAGATTTAAGTGAGGGAAATTTATGTATGTATAATTGAAAATGGGTATGCCACGTGTACAGTTGACAGCTGTTTGCTTTTGTAATGAGTATGGTTAGGTTCTGTTATCGATATTAATATTTACTCTAATATTTATTGCTTCTTATGTACGAAAATCCTATATGCGGTAAAAGACTTGGAAATTTTCATTTACCAAAGAATTACTCAAGAATTTTCATATAAATTGGAAAAGCAGTCGTAAGTTAAGGTATGATTACTAAATACTGAAACTAAAATGCAATTCTTGCCTGATATTGATGGTTGGAGTATGGCGTCATAAACCGTATTCACCTAAAGCATTGTCAGATTTCATTCCTAAGCGCATTTGATCTCTCCTTCGATGTGATTTTACATACGTATATAGCGTATTTAATTTTTCATTATTTTTACTTTTTGCAAAAAAAAAAAAGAAATTCACTTTGGTAACAAGAATATGCAAGCATAAGTCAGGAGTGAGCAGGGATCGCATTTAAGGCACATTTCCTAGTATTTGAGGGCAGAGCAAAGTTTCCGTCTATCCTTTCCTTTTTCTTCGCCTTCTTGGCCGAATGATTTTCTTTTGTATTTCCATGATAACCGAATGCCATCCTTTTTTAAGACTTCGAGGCAGCATTTACTACGCACTCGTATATGCTTGTACTCGATTATTAATTACAGACTTTTTCAATCCTTCGGGCGATAGATGTATTCTTCGTTTGAAAGAATAACTCATCAATTGAGAAAATAGAGAAGTCACCGAGAAAATGAAGCTCGGGTGAGGTATCTAAGCGGTAGAGGCGTTTGCTTCTGGAGTTATATTTAGCGATATTATTGCGCTGCAAAATTCCAATGTGCTTCGGAATCCTTTTTTTTTTTTGTTTTCAACCGAAGTGCGATACAAAGAATTTCTCTTATAGGACCTTCACAGCATCATTTCTCATGCCGAAAGCAAACGAGCGGTAAACTTTTTATTGTATTTCAGTTCTTGAATTATTTGCTAAGAGGATATAAATGAATTACCGATACAGCGTTTATGGCTAAGGTTATGCTGGAGCAAAGAACAGCAACTGATAAACTTTAACTTTTTCTTCTTCTTGAGGTTGCGTTTCCCTAAAATGCCTTGGCCTCTAAGATTATTTTAATAATTTGACGTGAATTGTGTGATTACAATGCTATTAGTTACGCCCGAATTGATTGCTTCTCTTTCTCATCCTTGGGCGCCGAGTAGTGCTTTAATTCAAAATGAACCCCGGTGCATAGAACATAGTTATATAGAACGTCGAACTTAAAACGTCACCACATTCTCCATACGGGAAGGGATGACTTATTTTAAAACTTCTGGCGATCATTAAGCAGAGCTTTGGAAATATTGTTTCTTTTCTTTTACGACTACATTGGCTCCCCTTCGCCTATGGTGAGTATATTTTTTCGAAACTTTCAAACGAAACTAGTTTCACTCTAATAGCGGAATTAATTCCAGCTCTTACTAGCATCTGTATTGACTAAGTTTCTGGCAATGCGATTATCATAGATATATATGCTGGAGCGGATGGCATCGTAACACACTGTCTACTGTTCGAAATATTCTCCTTTATTATTGAAAAACTTATGGTAAAAGATAGCCTTTCCCAGAAACTGTTAGGTATCACAAGTGCTCTTGATCTTTTGTGCGTCCGTCTGATTTTTAATAAAACCGATTGAGCACTCATTATCCCTACGAATACCGGGAACGCGGTAATCTAATTCAAATACATTTAGTCTTCTTCTTTTTTTTCATCTCACAGCGTTTTTTTTGTCAGGATTACTGATCGAGCCTCTTCTTATATTAAGTGCCTTTCTAAGACCCTAAAACTCTGGCCTTTTTTAAAGTCCATTAGCATTATTAGTGTTAACGTTTCTTTGTCATTATAAGAGATTGATGAAATGTGCATAATGAGGATCAAAAATATATCAATTAAAAATTTGATTTGATGTTTCCACTGCCGCATGCATTGAAAGCTGACTAAATTTAAACAATTTTGACAATTCCTTAAATAGTTTTGTTATTTTCTTTCTTACATCATTCTTCATGCGAAAAGATATGAAGTGAATTTTCTTCGAAAAATGTTATATTTATCTAAGACTTTACAGTTCAGTTGATTATATATTGGATATATATATTGGTTTTCTTTACTTTTTTTTTTTTTTTTTTTTTTGCATTTTCAGGTTATACGCAATGATGAGCAAACATCATTGATTGTGGATGGTGTGTCACAAAGTCGCACCACCAAAGGCAAAGAATTTCAATTTGGTAAATTTACCACGAATTCGGATGTTTTCGTTGGTGGGATGCCAAATTGGTATAGCACAAAATTGGCATTGTTGGCATTGCCAAGTGTTATATTTGAGCCACGATTTCGTGGTTCAATACGTAATCTGGTGTATGCCGATCAGCCAGGCGGTCAGACCAGGCGACAAGAGATGAAACAACCGCGCGATATTAAATGCGGTGATGGTCCATGCGATCATGGCGAAATGCCCAAAGAGAAAGTTATACGCAATACGTTGCGTGGCATTGTTGGCAGCGGTAATAGCGGCAATATGACCGATGCCTGCGAGCGACACGATCCGTGCCAGCACGGTGGTATATGTATATCAACTGATTCCGGCCCAATCTGCGAGTGCAGAAATCTTGAATTTGATGGACAATATTGTGAAAAAGGTAAGGAACTTTTTTTATGCCCGCCTATGGGGTCAAATTGCCTGAAAATTTTGTTCACAATTTTTTTTTTTTTTTTTTTTTTTTATTAGAAAAAGCTCCGTCAGAAGCTACTTTCCGCGGTACACAGTTCCTTTCTTATGACCTTGGGCAAACAGGTGCTGAGCCCATTGTAAGTGCCCAAGATGCAATTACTTTATACTTTCGTACCAGACAACCGAACGGTTTGCTTTTCTATACAGGTATATAAATTATTTTGGATAGAAAACATTTTCCATTCTTTCTATCTTCGGATGATGATGATTTTAATATTTTAGGTCATGGCACTGACTATTTGAATTTGGCCTTACGTGATGGTGGAGTCTCTTTAACAATGGGTTTGGCCAATGGTAAACAAGAAATGCATATAAAGCCATCTAAAGTGCGTTTCGATGATCATCAATGGCATAAAGTTACAGTGCATCGGCGTATACAGGAAATTTCCTCAATCACTAGTTTTTGCCGCGTGAGTACATAGAAAAATAATAGAGAATATATATAAAAAGAGAGCAGAGATAATCTAAAAATTTTTTTTTTTTTTTATTTTTTTATCAGTTGGTTACCGTCGTCGATGATGTTTACACCGACCATTCTCATATTGCCGGCAAATTTACAATGTTGTCTTCATCTCGGGTTTATGTAGGCGGTGCTGTTAATCCCCGCGCATTATTAGGCGCACGTGTACATAACAACTTTGTGGGATGTTTGCGAAAAGTAATTAATAATCGTTTATGAATTTTTTTTTTTTTTTTTTTAAATTTTCGAGTAACATTTTCGATTTTTATAAATAGGTGGAATTCTCAGCAGATACTCTCCTATTGAATTTAATCGATTTAGCTAAGAGTGGGTCTAAGTTAATTCAAGTAGCTGGTAACGTAGAGTATCAATGCCCATCGGGGGATCCTCAAGATCCGGTTACCTTCACTACCCGAGAATCACACTTGGTAAGGGAAAGTAGTTATTATTATTATTATTATTATTGTTTTTTTGATTAAAGTTTACGTTTTTAATTATTATAGATTTTGCCACCTTGGGAGACGGGTAAACAAAGTTCCATATCATTTAAATTTCGGACGAAAGAACCGAATGGTTTGATTATTTTGGCAACAGGATCAAAGCAACCGAGATCAAAAAATGTAAGTTTTGCTTTGGCAATACCTTCAATACTCAATCAGTCCATTATCTAAGTATGCAATATTGTTTATACACTTCAGCCGGTCCTATTTGCTATTGAACTGTTAAATGGCCATATTTACATACATTTGGATTTGGGTTCGGGAGCGGCTAAAGTGCGAGCTTCGCGACGTCGTGTTGACGACGGTGATTGGCATGATTTCATTTTGCGTCGCAACGGACGAGATGCTAAAGTCAGTGTGGATGGAGTATGGAATGATTTTCGCACTCCTGGCGATGGTACTATACTGGAATTGGATGGTCATATGTATGTGGGTGGCACGGGACCGGCTTTTAACAGCATAAATTGGCCGCCAGCCATATGGACGGCAACGTTACGTCAAGGTTTTGTTGGCTGCTTAAGGGATTTAGTATTAAGCGGCAAAGCTGTCGATATAGCCGCCTATGCTCGTTTACAGGACTCGGGTAAATAACTGTTTGTCACTTATTTCTTAATTTATTTATTTATTACAAGATATTTTGCTAGAACAATTTCTATTCGGCAATATAATCAAGACGATGAAAAGAAAAATTGGTTTAAGAAGGACACCCTATATGAAATTCCTTTAGACTCGACGAATAGTTTTTTGAATGACATTTCATTAATTTCTCGATATTTTAATTAAATAATTAAAAAAATCATGTATTTTGCTCAACTTTAAATAAATATCAATCTTTCTTTTATACACTCTCTCTTTCAAGCTTCGGTTAAACCTTCTTGTCATATACAAGCGAATGTTTGCGCTGGTAATCCTTGTTTAAATAGCGGTACATGTTTAGAAGGTTGGAATAGACCGATATGCGATTGCACTGCTACTTTGTATCATGGCCCGACATGTGGTAGAGAATCGGCTACGTTGGCTTTCAATGGCAGTCAACATATGACAGTTTGGTTGGGGAATGGTCAAGGAGCAAAAACTCAAACTGAAGAGTTATTATTGCGTTTCAAAACTTCTCGCCCGGCTGGCTTATTATTAATGACAAGCGCCGAATCAAATTCACCGGATCGTTTGGAGATCGCCCTTGTCGCGGGACGCATACGTGCCAGTGTGCGTTTAAGTGATCGCGAAAAGGTAATTTTAAACAAAAAAAAAAAGAAAAAAAAAAGAATAAAATTAATAAATCACAAAAACTATATACTAATGCAGTGCAATGTTGAAATTGTTTTTTTTTTCAGAACTTATTGGCTGGCCAATCGGTTTTAAATGATAATAACTGGCATACTATACGTTTTTCCAGGCGCGCATCGAATTTACGGCTGCAAGTTGACGGGGCTCCCCCTGTCAGGGGTATGTTATGTATGTATCACCAGCACTTTATTTGCCCTACTACGTGTCGTGCCGTGTCGTTTTTTTACAAACTCTTTTTTTTTCTCGCTCAACTATTACAAAAAAAAGACCAACAAAAAAAAAAAAATGAAAGGAAAAGAAAAAGAAAAACAAAAATTTCAAGTAGAAATTTTTTTTGCATTGTATTTTGCGCTGCTAGCGCCCTTTAGTATCACTTTCATGTAAATAGGTTGTTGTTATAACTAATTATACTCAGGCTTAAATTCTTCCAAAAATAACAGAGAAAAAAACAAAAAAAAAAAAAAAAATTTCTAATTTATGTAAATTGGTTCTCTTGTAAATATTTCCATAAACAAGCTACGCTTTCCAGTAAACACCAGGATACCTAAAAAGCAAAAAAAAAAAAAAAACAAAAAGAAACAAAAAAAAACTTCCAATAAGATGCTACCAAAAAAAAAAAGAAAATACTTGAATAGAACATATGTGCAGTCTTTAAATGTTACACTGTTTGTATAAAACATTTATAATTAATTTCAAATTTTCCCTTTTTTTTTTCTAAAAAAAAAAAAAAAAAAAATCTTTTCACGAAACAGTGGAATATTTATTTTTAAAAAACTTAATTTTCATATTTAAAGTTTTTTTTTCTTTTTTTTAATTTTAATTTTAATTTTTATTTAGAATATTTTATATACATTTTTATACTTTTTCTGCTCCGTGTTGCCCTTCCTAATTCATCATCAATAATTCGTTTTCATATACATAGTCAATAATTAAAAAATTTGCTAAAATTAATTCAAAAACGAAAGAAAAGATAAGAAAAACAAAAAGTAAAAAAAAAAAAACGGAAACTGTGTTTACTCTTCTCATAAGTCTTAAATATAATATTGTTGTTGCATTTAATACATATGAACATACATATATATATATGCACACTCTGACCATTGTATGATTTTTAGGCTGCCGTTCTTAAGCTCCTTTGCTCTCACCGTATTATTCACCCTCTCTTTTTATTCTCCTTATCACTATCTCTCTCGCTTTCTCACTCGCTCTTTTTTATCTCTCTCGCTCTCTCTCTCTCTCTCTCTCTCTCTCTCTCTCTCTATCTTGCTCTCGGTCTCGCTCTCGCTCTCCTCAATCCAATCTCTCATCATTTCTCTCTGGACATTCAAAAGTTTCCTTCATTGGCGTCGCAATTGTGTAAAAATCTCCCATTTATGTTCCGTCTCTTGTATCTTGTAAAACTTTCTACTACTATTGGTCTTTCTCTCCAAACAATTCCTTTTACGTACATATATATATATATTTACTGAAATTATATTTCATTTCTTTTTGCTTTTAACATAAACTGCTATGTAAAATGTAAAAAAAAGAAGAAGAAAGCGATACATACATATAATGCACATTCAACATAGGCATAAACATGCATACGCATACATGTTCAATTGATGCTCCAACAATACAAGAATTTTGTTAACATATGTAACGTTTTTTTGACAAATTTTTTTCAAAACTTAGACTATGTTCGTTCGTTTGTTTGTTTGTTCGTTTGTTCGTTTGTTCCGTTGTATGTTTGTTTCAATTATTTTGTACAAAAAAAAACAAAAATTTTTCCAAAATACAAATTTTTTCCCTTAAACAACAAACATCTTGATGTTGTGTAAAACTCTTCTGTTTATTTTATTCTTTGTCCGTTTAAGTTGCGCTAAATTTTTGTTCATTTTTTTGTTTGATTTACTTTTTTTTTTTTTTTCTTATTCGTTACAACGAAAAAGAATCTTGATGCTGGTGCCAACATTGTTATATGATGATGATGATGATGATGATAATGATGATGATAATGATGATGATAATGATAATAATGATGATAACGACGATGATGAACATTTTGTTAAACATTACATCTATTTAGGGTAACAGATCTTTTCCGACTACTAAGCCCTTGTAAAACATTAAAACATTTGTAACATATGTTGACTAGAGATGAGTATGTTGTTCTACTTTATTTTTCCAGTAGAAATGAAGGAGGAAGGTTTTTCAATGACAACAACACTAAGCAGACACATGTTCAGTTTATATTATTTATAGATTTTTGATGAACGGAACTTTGTAATACGAAGGTGATATGATAAATACGTTGAACACTTCAATTAACGGCACACATATACACACCTGTATATATATATATATATATATATATACACACCTATATCTATATATCT